ACCTGTTTACCCTTATTGTCGTCTCTCAGTATTTTTTATCAGATTTGTCCGTGAGATTTAACATTTGCGAGTAAGATTTCACTTTTTTACGTATAAAATTAGAAAACAACTGCTTTTTGATTACTAGAACATGGTTATTTAATATGTTCTTTGTTATTTTATACCACAGCAATTTTGGCAACACGAAATCACCTATGTGCTTTAAATCTTTTATAGTGATTAAAGGGCGTGAAACTGAGACATATCACAAGGATGATTGATTTGAATTGAACATATTTTATTGACAATTAAGCCAAAAGGATAAGACACAAGTTCTGACAACTTAGATAGTCTTCTCCTCATACAAAATTTTTATAATATTGCCAAAATAAAGAACAATTATTTTCAGTAACAATTAGTAGTGTCAAAGACAGTAAACTCTTGAAACCAGAACACAATACTATATATACAAAAAATTAAGATTTTTCAGAGAATCGACCACACTCTTTTAAAAAGGTATGAATAACTTTAAGGCCAGACGACAAGTTCCTCAAATATATGTTTCGTATCTCTTGTTATTATATCAAATATTTCTCTTAATTGTCATTCTCATCTGATTTCTACATTGTTTTCAAAATGTTTTTAAATATAAGTACACCAAAAATTGTCTTATAGGCAATTTAGAAGATTATCCATAAGGGTTATATAAGAAATGTGACCCCATGGTATCTTGGCCAAATGCCTGGTAAGGTACCCTTATTTTTTGTGAGGAAACTTGTTTAAGTACCTAAACTTCAATGACAAATTCTTAGGAAAAATTATATATTTTTAAGGAACGTGTCGTCTGACCTTAAAGATTAAAAAATTTCTACATTTTGTTGATCAGAGAATGAATCAACACCCCATAACATCAAATGAACATCTATAATGTACAAATTGTTGAATGATAATAACTTATTCATGTATAACTTTCGCCATAACTTTTGAACCATGAAAGATAGAGACTTCATATTTGATATGCATACTCCACCAATAAAGCTCTTTCAAATGACATCAAGGTCATGACCTTGTGACCTTGACTGACCTATATGCTAAAAATAGCTTTTTAGAACTTTCGCCATAACTTTTGAACCATTAGAGATAGTGATTTCATATTTTGTTTGCATACTCCACTAATGAAGTTTTTTTCAAATGAAACCAAGGTCAATGACCTTGTGCCCTTGACTGTGACTTATCTGCTAAAAATATTTTTTTAACTTTGTTGCCGCCGTGCGCATAGTGTTTCACAAACACATCTTGTTTTTCCTGTTTGTCTGTCTGTCTTCAAAAACTTTAACCTTGCCCATAACTTTTGATTGGGCATGACAATGGCTTTCATATTTCACAGGTGTATTCCTTGTGGCCTTTCTTTGGGTACCACCAAATTTGGCCTCTTGACTTGACCTTGAAGTTTGAGCAGTTTTTTTTTTTTATCAGCTTTTCGGTCAGGTTTTGGATGTCAGTCTACTCTGTTGAGAGTTATCGAAGACTGGAAATATGCCCTGGATAAAAATGAATACACTGCAGCTATTTTAATGGATCTTTCCAAGGCCTTTGACTGCCTTCCCCATGAACTACTTCTTTTAAAGCTAAAAGCCTATGGACTATCTGAATCAGCACAAGAAATGCTTTATAGCTACTCTCACACAGAAAACAATGTGTTAAATTAGGGCACCATGTTAGTGACATGTTAAACATCATTAAAGGTGTCCCACAAGGATCTATTCTTGGTCCCCTGTTATTTAACATATTTATAAATGACCTGTTTTTCTTTGTAGATAAATGTAACCTCTACAATTATGCAGATGATAACACCCTATCAAAGTCTGATAAATCTCTAGAACAGGTGGTAGCAGCTTTAGAACATGATAGCAAATCTCTCATTACATGGTTCTCCTCAAATAAAATGCAAGCAAATCCTGAAAAATTTCAGGCAATTTCTATTGGAAATAAAACACAAAGTAAAAACATTGTGTTTGATTTAGATGGAATCAAAATTCCTTGTGAGGATGAAGTTAAGCTGCTAGGTATAACCATAGACATTAGACTTTAAGTTGTCTTTTGATACACATATTACAAATACATGTATGTGCAAAAAGGCTGCAAGGCAATTAAATGTTCTTAAACGGTTAGGAAAGCACTTAACTAAGTTAGGAAAACTTACAATATATCACTCTTTTATCATGTCAAATTTTAGTTATTGCCCCTTAACATGGCATTTTTGTACTGAGCAAAACACTCGCAAAATAGAGAAAATTCAGGAAAGAGCATTAAGATTTATTTATGAAGATTATAAAAGTTCTTATGAAAGTCTTTTATATAAATCTAAACTACCATCTTTGAAAACCAGAAGAATGCGTGTCATTGCTCAAGAAACCTTTAAAATTATCCAAGGTTTAAGTCCCGTCTTTTTGCAAGATATGGTTGTTTTTAAAAATAATTCATACAATTTTAGATATACAAATACTGCAGAACTCCCAAGACCAAGAACAGCAAGGTATGGGGTGAAATCATTTAGGTATGAGGCAGCAAAGCTCTGGAACTCTCTGCCCAATGAAGCCAGGCAATTCTCCTCAAATAATCAATTTTCTAATTATATTTCAACATGGTGAGGAGAACTAAATTGTAAATGCAGCTCCTGTAGACTTCAGACTTCTATGCCTCATACCTAATGTTTTAGTTTTATAGATGTTCGTCTTAAGTTATTATTTATTTATTTATTTACAGTTTTGTGCTTTCTAAACCTTTCCTCCCTTTTATGTCTTCATAATACTTGTTTTAAGTACTTGTTGTTTTCTTATGTTGACTCTTTTTATTTTCTTTGTGTTGCTCAAATGTTTTGTCTTTTATTTCTTTCTTTTTTTAAGTGTGTTTATCAATGTCTTTGGTTACACTTGTGTGTTTAAATGAATTTCTGTCTTTATGAAACTCTAATGTGATAATTGTGCTCTTATGTGTATATATGTACATTTTATTATAAATATGTTTTATGTTTCTAGTCGGTAAAAGAGCTTTATAGCTCATGTTCTTTGTTATGTGTATGTAGTCCGACTATAAATAAGATTTACTTACTTACTTACTTACCAACTTTTCCCCAAAAATTACCGACTTAAACCCAGGCCATAATTTTTTTAACAGTTTGTGCTAGGGCTTTCATACTTCACATGTGTATTTATTGTGACAAGATCTTTTAATGGATATATAATTTTTTTTTACCTTTTGACCTTGACCTTAGAATTTGAACCACGTTTTTAAAAAAACTTAAACATTTGCCATAAGTTGGCCTTCGGTATTTATGCAAATTATCATGTTTCTTTAGAACAGTCAAGGAAAAGAAAAGGATGATGAATTTTATTACGTAAGGTTGGAAGAATTTTGACAAAAGGAAATACAAAACAAAACAATTATTCAATGTCGGATTAGGATAGGTGCGTTTTACACTTAACAATTCAAATTTCTAAAATGATTTAGAGTTTTAAAATGTTAATATATTAGTTCAAATTTCTAGATTTCAAAAACTCAAACTGATTTGGTATATTGAAATTTAATATTTTAGTTCAAAAATCTAAATTTTCAAATTTCCAAACAGGTTTTAGAATTTTAAGTTTTTAGATTTTTACCTTAAATGTTCAAAATTCAAATTTCCAAAAATAAATTTTGTATTTTAAACTTTTGAGTTTTTAATCTACCGTTTCTTCAGGAAGTTAACGCTTAACAATCTAAAATTTAATAACATTTTTCGCCTTTTGATTATTTAAAATTTACTTCCAACTTTCAAACGTTTTAGATTTTTAGAAATTTAGAATTTTGATTCAAACACTCAACATTTAAATAACCAAAACACTTTTTACTTTTTGAGTTTATAGAAGTTTACTTCAAATATCCAAAATATCAAATTCCATAACTGGTTTAAATTTTGGATATGTAAAGTAAAATTCTAAAAACTCAAAGTGTTTAGTTATTAGAAATTGGAACATTTGAATCAAAATTCCAAATTTATAAAAATTTAAAACGTTTCAAAGTTGGATTTTAGAAGTTTGAAACTAATTTCAAATAACCAAAGGACAAAAAATATTACCGAACTTTAGATTGTTATGTGTAAACTTTCTGAACAAACGGTAGACTAAAAACTCAAAAGTTTAAATTCCAAAAACCGTTTTCGGAAGTTTGAATTTTGAACATTTAAAGTAAAAATCTAAAATATTAAAATTCTAAAACCCGTTTGGAAATTTGAACATTTAGATTTTTAAAGTAAAATGTTAAATTTCAATATAACAAACCATTTTGAGTTTTTGAAAGTTAGATATTTGAACTAATGTATTAACATTCTAAAACTCTAAATCGTTTTAGAAATTTGAATTGTTAAGTGTTACACGGACCTGAAGTAAATTTTAAATAATTAAAAGACGAAAAATGTTACTGAACTTTAGATTGATGAGCGTAAACTTTCTGAACAAACGGCAGAATAAAAAGTCAAACGTTTAAAATACAAAATTTGTTTTTGGAAATTTGAATTTTGAATATTTATGGTAAATATCTAAAAACTTAAAATTCTAAAACCTGTTTGGAAATTTGAAAATTTAGATTTTTGAACTAAAATATCAAATTTCAATATACCAAATCAGTTTGAGAATTTTTGCAATTTAGAAATTTGAGCTTATATATTAACATTCTTAAACTCAAAATCATTTTAGAAATTTGAATTGTTAAGTGTTACACGGACCACGATACACTGTATATACTTTTTTTTTCTAAATGTACTTTAAAATTTTTATAATTGTTGCATAAAATTTTCATTTCTTTTTATCTAAGTTCTAGCCTAATAAGTACTTGCATTAAATTCTTAAATGCATCTTTTAATCATTGATTTAACCTTAGGTTCGATTCAAAACAAAGCATGTCGTACCACGTTACGGTTATGTAAATGTATCATTGTATGCTTAAATAATCAAATAATAAGCAGTTCCTTCTTGAGATGAGCTTCTGACGGCATTCGACGTGTATTGTGTGTCCAGTAGATGGTATTCTAAAATGAGAAAGGCCTCTCTTCTTTTGATGGGTGAGTTAAATTGTATAGTCTATTTTTTATTAATCAGAATTTAATTATTGTTGGTATTTTTAATTAAGCACGGCCTTTCCGTAACTCGATAACACAAACAAATTACAAATTACAGCCTAGCTTTAATTAATCCATGATTTTAAATGCTAGTATATTAAAAAAAAAAAAATCATAGTTTACTTTTGATAAGCTAATGCGAGTTACCGAGTAAGGAGTTGATCCTTACGTCGCGGGTTCAAATCCTCATGTGGGACGTTGAGACCCCGGTTTTGGGATGAGACCGTATAAGGTGTCGTGTCGCAGAAGGTGCAGGCACTAAAAGTAAAAGTATTCCTCACTGCTCAATGGCCCCGAGTATCCTGCATAGTTCTTATTTTCCAGCCCTCCATTAGCAAGTGATCGATCTAAAAAATATAACACAACATAAATCTGTAAACACGGCCCCTCGGATCGATTACCAGAGGTGGGCTCAGGTGCCTAGGAGGAGTAAGCATTCCCTGTTGACCGGTCCCACCCGCCGTGAGCCCTGTGTATTGATCAAGAAGAAATATTCCGTAGTGAAATTAGTATAAACCTCAAAGAACTTTCAATGCATATGAAACACGTCTGCAAAAATACGAAAAATCCCAAAAAAGCAGTTATAATGGGTAACACGGTCATTATATACATTAACTTAAATCCCTGCAACGTCATTTTAGCTGTTAAAAGCCTGCCTCAGTTTTAAAATTGATCGTTCCCAGAGCACACTTTTGAGTACTCAGTATCTAAAAATTTGGGAGAGATAAACATCATAAGAATATAGGGAAATATAAGGGAAATATCACCATATAAATAAGTTGACAACAGAAAACTTAATTGACCTCGTCTGTCGTATGATTTAGTTGTTAGTTAGCCCTTATCGTTATTCTCTAAGTACTGTCAGTAAAACATCCAATATAAAACAGAAGTGGCAGACTCTGTGTTGTTTTTAGCTCTACTGGTCAGAGACCAGAAGAGCTTATGCGATAGTAATGCGTCCGTCGTCTGTCCATCTGTCTGTCTGTCTGTCTGTCCGTCTGTCTGTCTGTCTGTCTGTAAACAATTTTTCAAAATGCTACTCCTCCTACAGTTTTGGTCTGATTTCAATATAACTTGGCACACAAGTAGACTACACTAAGATACACAATTCCGTGTATCGGTTTTTGATTTCAATGAACGGTGTTGCCGTTGTTACTAAAAATAGAAATTTCTGTGAAATTCTTTCAAAATGCTACTCCTCCTACAGTTTAAGTCTGATTTTAATATAACTTGGCACACAAGTAGACTACACTAAGATACATAATTCTGTATATCGGTTTTTGATTTCAGTGAACGGTGTTGCCGTTGTTACTAAAAATAGAAATTTCTATGAAATTCTTTCAAAATACTACTCCTCCTACAGTTTTGGTCTGATTTCAATGTAACTTGGCACACAAGTAGACTACACTAAGATACATAATTCTGTGTATCGGTTTTTGATTTCAATGAACGGTGTCGCCGTGGTTACTAAAAATAGACATTTCTGTAAAATTCTTTCAAAATGCTACTCCTCCTACAGTTTTGGTCTGATTTCAATATAACTTGGCACACAAGTAGACTACACTAAGATACATAATTCTGTATATCGGTTTTTGATTTCAATGAACGGTGTTGCCGTGGTTACTAAAAATAGAATTTTCTGTGAAATTCTTTCAAAATGGTACTCCTCCTACTGTTTTGGTCTGATTTCAATATAACTTGGCACACAAGTAGACTACACTAAGATACATAATTCTGTGTATCGGTTTTTGATTTCAATGAACGGTGTTGCCGTGGTTACTAAAAATAGAATTTTCTGTGAAATTCTTTCAAAATGGTACTCCTCCTACTGTTTTGGTCTGATTTCAATATAACTTGGCACACAAGTAGACTACACTAAGATACATAATTCTGTGTATCGGTTTTTGATTTCAATGAACGGTGTTGCCGTTGTTACTAAAAATAGAAATTCCTGTGAAATTCTTTCAAAATGCTACTCCTCCTACAGTTTTGGTCTGATTTCAATATAACTTGGCACACAAGTAGACTACACTAAGATACATAATTCTGTGTATTGGTTTTTGATTTCAATGAACGGTGTTGCCGTTGTTACTAAAAATAGAAATTTCTGTAAAATTCTTTCAAAATGCTACTCCTCCTACAGTTTTGGTCTGATTTCAATATAACTTGGCACACAAGCAGACTACACTAAGATACATAATTCTTTGTATTGGTTTTTGATTTCAATGAACAGTGTTGCCATGGTTACTAAAAATAGAAATTTCTGTGAAATTCTTTCAAAATGCTACTCCTCCTACAGTTTTGGTCTGATTTCAGTATAACTTGGCACACAAGTAGACTACACTAAGATACATAATTCTGTATATCAGTTTTTGATTTCAATGAACGGTTGCCGTTGTTACTAAAAATAGAAATTTCTGTGAAATTCTTTCAAAATGCTACTCCTCCTACAGTTTTGGTCTGATTTCAATATAACTTGGCATACAAGTAGACTACACTAAGATACATAATTCTGTGTATCAGTTTTTGATTTCGATGAACGGTGTTGCCGTGGTAACTAAAAATAGAAATTTCTGTTAAAAACTCTCAAAATGCTACTCCAAGTACAGTTTAAGTCTGATTATAATATAATGTGGCATTCACGTAGACTACACTAAGAACATAAAGAGACTTAATCAAAGCTCATTATTCTTTTTATTGCTGTGGTAAAGTTTCAATTCCCAACTGCTTAAGAAGTTTTCTTTTCCTTTGCTATAAGAACAAACCAGTAGAGCTTCAGTATAGACAGAGACTTCTGGTTTATTTCAAGTTTCCTGAGATATATTGAGTCGACATATTAGAAATACTATTGGTGATTGAGAAAACGATATACATGTACATACAGTGCGATAATATATATATATAGTATATACATATACATCCGCTGTATATGTATTTCAAAGTTGACCGAGTTGATAGCTATATAGCAAGTGTTTTCTTCTATAAAAAAATCTGCAATCAGGCGTCTAGTAAAGGAGCACAATAAGTTTCTATTCCAGAAATTCCAATTGACAACTATGAAATAGTCTAAATCTTTAGTCTTAAAAGAGAATAGTGTTCGATTATTTTTTGACCGATTGATTTTTTTTTTATTATGAATAGTGTTAATTCTGGACGTCGCAGATCCTAAAGGTGAAAGGAAAGTTGATAACAATGTATCTATTGGACCACCGGAACCCCAGGCCATCTGGCCCGTGACTGATCACCTACACAATAATACAGCATACGGGGTCCTGAAAAATTTGTACGGGGTTTATCATGAAGTTCTTTATACAACACCGGGACCGGAAGTTGGCCTTGCTTCACTCAAGTTCGACGCTGAAAAAAGTTCCTTTATGACGTTTTTTAATGACGGGTCCTTGGACGGTTTCCATGCAGTCACCTGGATATTTTATGTGAAACCAGCTTTTCAGCAAAAAGCCGTGTTGATGCATTATGCTGGAGATGGTACGTATCCCGGCATGGAGCTGAGGTTGAGATCAGACGACACTCTAGAACTTCGTATCTATATATGTGATCCTTTGGGATGTACGAAAAAAAACTTCAAGTCTGCAGGCACCACTGCTCCTCCAGGGGTATGGACTCTCGTGGGAATCACCTTCAATAAATTGTGGCCGTCTCCCGAGTTTGATATAATGACACCCGACAAATCAGCAGACAAATTCACGATTACTACGCAAATGGAGCATCTTCGACTGTCGGGAAACATCCACTTCGGAGTATCCTATAGAGACAAAGACTACTTCACGGGAGAAATGTCCTGTTTCCAGTTTTATAATACATCTATCATAGGAAAAACCCAAAAGGGCACTCCTGACCTGTGTGACCCCAACACGTACGCCTATCCGGAATATGGTTCGTATTATTGTGTACAGATTTAAAAGTTTTTAAAAATTAAAATTAGGTTACAACTTGAGGGAGTCACTAGGACTTTAAATTTTGTTAAGAGACTTTTTTGGTGAAATATGTCAAGATAACGAACAGTATTCAAACTCAAATGTCATTAAAGATTACAAATTAGGAGCGGAGCAAACACAGACGTACAAAGCATCAGAGGTGGGATTAGGTGAAATGGAAGAGTGAGCATTTCCTGCCGTAAAAGATTTTCAACAAATTCTGCTTCATATGAATAGAAACATAGATCTACTAAAAACGGGGCGCAATTGATACCCATGGGAATTCCAATAGATTGTTGGAAGACCTGGTCTCCAAAAAACCACATAAATATTGTCAATCATAAACTCGAGCATCTTTTTAATATCAACTTCAGAGTACTTGTATGTACAATCAGATTGTTTTTTTTTTTTTTTTACAAAGTTATATTTTGCAAATGACCATGACAAGATACGTAAATTTACGAGTTCCATTTTTATTGAAAAAACAGCTGTCAATTATATAAAAGGAGTAAAGAAGGAGGCTTGGTAAAACACTTACTAGAAGTCTAGAACCCGCTATGTATCTTTGTTTATAAGGATTTTTATCAAGTTTCGGAATCCAATATAGGTATGGTAATTCAAATTCATTTTGGTTGTTTGGAATATTAAGAATATTCAAAACTGACATACGATTTTGAAGAATTTCCTCCTTAGAAAACATAGTGCAAAGCCCCCCTCGACTGGCTCGAGCCATCTTTAACAATCGTTAGTTTGTCCCCTATCGACCGACTAGTTATTGATTATACCCCCCGCTTGAAAAGTGGGAGGGTATATAGTAATCGGTATTTCCGTCCGTCCGTCCGTCCGTCCGTACGTCCGTCCGTCTGTTACGCTTTGGGGTACCCATCTCTTATCCGCAACTCCTCTTATACCACTGAGTGAAATTTAATGAAACTTTCACAGAATCTTTATTACATATTGCCATTGTGCACCTCCTATTTTACTTTTTGATCCGACACATGTTTTGGGTTTCCTGGCCACAACAAAACATGGACTTTTCCATTATAATCATATGGGAGGCGGGGGGTATCATTTAGTGAGCTCATTGCTCACAGTACCTCTAGTTTATATTGGTGATACCACCTAGTCAATTTGAATGAGTGATATCACCTATTCGAATAGGTGATTTCACTTATAATACCAAAAACGGCTCTTCATATTTTTGATATGATACACGGAGAAATATAAAATACATGGTTACTGTCTTGAAATATAAGCTATATTTGGGCGAGGGTAAGAAAACGTGATAGAGGGCGAGGCTTGCCGAGCCCTCTTACGTTTTCGACCCGAGCCCAAATATCGCTTATATTTCAAGACAGTTATCATGTATTTTGTTTATCCTGCTACATATTATTAACATTTGAACGTCCAGAACAAGCTTTTTCTGACTGATTTAGGCACATCTCTGCAGTGAAACTATGACGCCATGGCGTAAACATTGCAATACGCATGACGTCACAATGCTTTTAGAACGTCGGAATACATGCACGAGGCTTTATTAGGGCAGTGACCGGATAAAGCTTTGGTTTATTAGGTTACCTTTATTAGGTCAATGCAAGGGGTAGTTGCAGGATAAATACTTTTTTTATGCTTTTAGAAAATGACGTGAATGAAAATCAAACATTTAAAAATGATTGGTATAGGTGATCCGATTGCCAGCATTGATTTCTACAACATGATGTTACCCACAACTGTAGACAAAATAACACAGGTCATCACAACTGGGAGCACAATGACGGAAATGACGTCAGTCGATGATCTGACGTCATTTAATGCGATGACGACAACAGATATAATGCAAGGAGAAAGGAATATGACGACGACTGGTTTCCAGTCCGCAGTGACGACAGCAGATATAACAGTGAACGAAGAGGGAAATGTAACGACTCAGACCACAGTGCTGACAACTCAAATTCCGGAAGCGGCAGATTTTCCTGGACCGGAAACATCGATTCCCATTGAGGGTCTGTTATTTTGTAAGCTAGCTATAGTATACGTGATTTGTTGTTTCATTTCCTACCAAATCATCACGCAGACGTAGTTATACTAAAATCTCTATTTTGTTTGCAATGCAGGTTCTAACGATGTAATATTATGTCATGTTTAAGGTATGTCACTCGTGAAATTTGTTAAATCAAGGATTTTTTGAGAAGTATATTTTGGATAAGTACTCATATAGTGTGACTCAAATTTACAGAAAAATAGGGGGTCAGTGTGCATCTTACTGATCTACGGTACAATTAAGTTGACCTTTTTGCACTTAAACTTTAACTCTTTGGTAAATTACTTTAACCTTGATCATATTTTATCAGATGTAACCATGGCGATAAATATAATTTTATTTTACATAAAATAGTTTGAATAATATTTATCACTGAACAAATCTTGCAAATTAATGCGCGTAAATTATTGTGTGACCTTTTTGCACTAAAAAGTAACATATTTGGGGTATTAAAAAACTATATAGGCAATAAAACATTTTTTTAAAATCAAGTTTTTATGACTTAAGTGTTGATCAGTCACAACTATCGTGTACTTAAAAATAATGAAAGAAAAAGTTGGTGTGAGTGATGTTAATTTTGAAATATTGGTCAAAATATGTGATTTTCAGGCGAAAAATGATATATATTTTATCTAGACTTATTTGGCATATCTTTATTTTTTGGCAAAGTTTGTTGAAGGAAGGTGTAAAGCTTGTTCTAGAAATATAAATTAAGACCTATATTAAATATTCCTAGCAATATCGTAACGGAAAATATTCTCCGAGTAAAAGTATGTGAAGCTAAAATTCCAAAATATTAAATTTAATAAATGTGCAGATTTGCAGAATTTTCTGCTAAATATCCTTCCACCACAAGAAATAGTCCCTCATAAATCTTGCTTCTTTGTAGCTTTTTGAGCAGTTTTTTTCGTTGAATGTTAAAACATTAACATTGTTGAATTTAAATACGTTATAAAAATTGAATTTTAATAAATAGTTTTGAAGCAAGAAGATCTGCGTGAACTTTTCTAAAAATCGTATAGAAATTTTAATGCATTTTTAATTACGTCTATTCGTGACTATATATTTGGGTATCGGATAAACGTGCTGAATTTTGATTACACGTTTGTCTGGTGACCTATTCTTGAGCTTAATTTTGCCACCCCCGTGGCTCGCAGTGTTTAGAGCGTTTTGTGATCACTTATAAAAACCCGATATTTTAAAAAAGATAAATGACTATTACACAAAATTTAATTAAACTATATCGAGGACCTGTCCAATATTTGGTATGGTCAAATTAGAGACAAATAAATATTAAATGGAAAATTCCTCCGTAATAATGTTAACAATGAGAAATACATTACAATTAAAAGTATTTAAAATTATGAAAAATCAATATACAATGTATACATGATGGTAGACAGTATTGTTCAGTTAATCAGAAAGTTAAATAATGGCTCCAAGTGCAAATTTTATAATTAAACAGAAATGACCTTGACCTTGTCCAAGAAATAAGGCGCGTGTGCTAAGAAATGATTATAAAATGTCTCCTAGTAAAATCGTATTTCACATGTTGCACAATAACAAAAATTAGGTATAACCCCAAAGCTCACAGGGTGACCAGTTATAATTAAGTAAGTATAGAAAGTTAAAAATGGTTTCAAGTGCAAACAGAAATGACCCCAGCCTTGTCCAGTAAGGCGCGTGTGCTAAGAAATGATTACAAAATATCTGCTACTTTCTTACAAAATATCTGCATCACAAGTTGTACGATAAAAAAAAAAAAAATAAAATTACGTCAAAGCTCACACAGTTATAAGTTAACAGGTGTCCTCTCGTCAGTTGTGTGTAGATTTTGTAAGAACGATCATTGTTTTTTTATCTTCACGGTATTTCACAGACTTTAAAGAAAGGACACAACCTGCAACCACTCACTCTCTTGAAAAAAATAATATATCTTTAAATTGATGATAATATAGCGCTCCATATGTTTGGTTTTTGATATTATAAGAAACTGGTGGAACTATACAAAGAACTATAGAAGATTTCAAAACAAATTATTTTAAATTCTCATTTTTCTTAAAAATCTAAAAAAAAAAAAAAATATATATATACATGTGTAGATAGAAATTTTTCTTAAATTTTTAAAATTAATTTTATCTGATTACATCATTTGTAGAGCGGGTTCAGGATTGCTGCTCCAAATTTCTTCTGGTGGGAAAACAGCTTACCCTGGCGTCACCAACGTCAACTGCTACCGCCGGAAGCTGGTCATCATGCACCAGAATCTGTCTCACTGACGTCACATGTAATTACGTTGCCTTGGATACTGTTAGTGGTCTGTGTTCGTTAAGTACAGATTCTGTAACAGTTTCACATCCAACATCTTCTGTGTTTGAAAAATCAGTGGACACGAATTGCTAAAGAATTTTCACATACTGAATGTGTTTTTCTTTCTTTGGTGCCATCTTCTCGAAGTACTAGTATTCAGCACAACATTCTAACGAATTGTTTTTACGCTGAAGTCTACACACTGAGTTTCCCACACATATTTCCAAACTGTTGGTTCCAAACTTCTCAATTATTAATAAATCTTGGGATGACTGGATAGTGAACATCTAAAACAAATCCTCTTCTATGTTATTGGCTGCTCTCCTTCTTCTTTTATCTACAATCCCTCTGGACATTTACTTACCAGTGATGTTAATAAAGATGAAAATGAAGACCTTAAAGCAATTATCTTGATAAATCCTTAACACACTGGTGAACCCAAGAAAACATTTCATTATGATTTTTATGTTTAACATATAAAAGAAGATTTATTTGAATGGACTAACTGCTCCAGAAACATATACTAATATCAAAGATAACATTAGATTTGAAAGGATACCGAATGGGCCAATCTCCTATCCTTCCGTTTTCAGTAAATCAGAGGTGATATAAAAGAATTAGAAGACTACATGAACAATATGTCGTGGTTCTATCAGACAAAGACATTCAATCCATGATTGTAAAGCTTTCAATTTTATCTGTATTTCCAAGTTAAGATTCTACCTCTGAAAATCCAACTTATATTCTCTGCTCAATTACTAAGGCTGAAATTCTTCAAATGAAAATAGTGATTGATCTGAAAAACTTCTATAAACAATACAAATCATTGAAGAGGGCATAAACATGGACCACTTGAATTTCCAGGGCTGGGATCAGGTGCCTGGGAGGAGTAAGCATCCCCTGCAGTCCACCCGTTTTTAAACCTGTGTATTGATCTGGTAGACGGAACATTTCCTTGTCAATTTCAGTGTTGAATACTTTAACATTCCCGTTGACAGAGAAATGTTCGATCTTCCTGGTCCTTTTTCAAATTCATAAAAAAGTCATATAAATAAAGAAACATGTATTACAGGGTCCAGCCATAGGGGCCTGTAACATGTTGTATTTGATTTTACGTAATCACTATATGTATACAAAAAGAGAAAGGGAAACAACGTCAGCTCGAATTTACACAGGGTCGATCTCGGAAATGACTCGTGTTTTCAATAAAATACCTTGCATTTAGTGAAATAACATCTGGGATCATTCAGTAATAATCACACTTTAATAAAAATACCATCGCGGTCATTTAAGAATCGTGTAAGTCGTGTTTTGCAGATGCGATATCCAGTCATGCAAGTGATGTAGTTTAAGTCGTCCACTAAATTCGCTAAACATTGCATCCAATATTTAACGCGAGATGTGATTGGTCAATGGTGCTTTTCTAGAACAGATCTGACCAATCACGCTCCGCCTTAATATGTAATTTCCGTACATGAATATCACAAAAATTCAATCCACGAACTCAGGAACCCTAACTTCCGACAATGAAAGTCTCTCCATAAAAAAAGAACAACCCGATTTTTAATTTAGAAAATTTGTTAATAATATCAAACATTTTTTAAAATTATTTTTTTTATTATTATTGTTGCAGGATAGTAACTGTTATTTGCTAATGTGTTGCTAAAATTTGGTTGTCAAAGTATGTTACCTCCTTTCAACAACCTTTTTTTTCCTTGTCAAAATTCAAAATTTTTCAGGTGAGTTGTATGTAATTTTTGTTTGTTATACTTTTAAAATTTTTTATATAAATTTATGCTAAAAAGAATAACCTTTCTACTGTTTTCTTCAAATAAATAGCTGTTTGACCGTGGAGAGCGAGATGTTGGACCATTCGATGAGATATAGTACCGTTTATGTCAAAGTGTGAAACGAAAATTTCATCATGCATATGATTATATCATAATAAACAGTAAATTGTATAACAAAACATTTATCGAATTTGTTCTCTAGATCTGGCAAAATGTGTTTCGTCGACCCCTCGAACAAAACTATTTGCATTCGGCCTAACCAGTGTCCTGCAAACAGTTTGTTTCTTGGGTCCGACAAAATGCATGTTGCCCTCGATACCTGTCTATGAATGTATAATGCTGGTTGCCTCAGACTGATTCTGTTACAACAATACACCATGCTATGTGTTCACGAAACTGCGATAGGGGAGGGGTAAAGGGGGTATCATATTCTGAGAAACTGTATATAGCTGGGGCAAGGAAAGAGAGGGTATCATAATAATGAAGTGTATACAGAAAAGAAATATTTTCGTATTTTCTCTTTTCAACTGCAAAGTTTGTGATTAATTATTTTTACATTGACACTTCTCGTTTTATTTATCATAGACATACATTTCCAGCGTTTTAGGTAATATGCAATTCAGTCCCTTCTTCAGCATTCATCCTGTATATTTAGTTTATTTACCTATGTGTATTAACCTCAGATTATCCAAAATATTCTCAATTTGACATACTAATTCGTTAGTGTCTCAAAATGTGTTATTTTATATGATAAATAATTTTAAAAAAATATATGAATGTTATCTGTGAACCTAATCGAGAAAATATACCAGTTAAATTTAACCCCCTTCCATAAGAAAAAGGCAAGGGGCGCGTGCAACCGTTTCAAAGATCTGCCTTTCACGAATTAAAAAAATGGTTGATATCAAGAAATTTTAAAATTATAAATCTGGTTGTTCTTTTATTTTAGGAGAGTTAGGGTTCCTGAGTTCGTGGATTGAATTTTGTGTGATATTCATGTACGGAAATTACATATTGAGGGGGAAGGTCCTGTCCCCAAGCACATGTGCTCCGATGATATGTAATCCAATTGTTCATGTAATCTATAATGCTGATTTTTCTCTAGAACTGATAAAGCCACAGAAAAAAATCTCTCTTCGTAACTTCAAAATATAAAGGAAATAATCAAACATAGATTTATAGATATCTTCGAGTAAATAAAAAGGTATTGGCAGTATAAAAGAGATGAAAACAACACCAAGTACGAGTATGCATTTGACTTTATTTTGCGACTCCCACTTCGATGTGCTTTCCCATACACGACTCCCCCCTACGTAACCGTTACTGTCTGAGGAGAAAATGTCTTAATTATGAATTTTTATAAAGTCTAGTCAAGTTTAAGTTGTTGCATTTAAAAGATAAACGATTTCTTTTGCTGTTTTAACAGTGAGAATCCCTACGCAAGCCGCAGATAGTCCAAATCATGCATGTTTTTACCATCCGATCAACGTAAATATGAAAACTGTCAAATAGTTTCGAAGTGTTTGAGAAAACTAGACGTATATGACAGCCGGACAAATGACCAAAATAAAGCTTAACTATTGCCATTTTCCGTGGGATATTTGTTTTTTGTAAATACATCTTATAAATACCGAAAACAGACGTGACCCACATCTCTTCTGACTCCGAAGCGGTGAAAATCTACTCCCCCATACGTTGAAAACGACTCCCCCATACTTTTTAGCGACTCCCCCGCGTTACCCGTTGTATACGGTGTACTAGTATATCCCAATTCTGAAATGATTTAAAGACACCAAAGGGTCTGACATGTAAGTTATGAGTATTTGGATGTTTTACTATCTATAGACGATAAGGGCCAAATAAGCGACTTCAGCTTTTTCGTCGTCGTCTTTGGTTAAATCTTCCAGAGTCATTTACATATTTATGTAAACTGTTGAAAAAGATCCATCAAGGTTGCCTCTTCCCATTTCTTACTTTATTTAAGTCTTACATACAAAGGAAAACAAATTATAAAAATCCCCATTCTGACCACAAGTGCAATTCTAACATTTCATCAGTAACGATCATAATTTATCCAAAAGTGATCCTAAAATTGAATTTACCAAATTATTTCAGAGTTTTATTCATGTTTCAATAATATTTTACTTGAATATATGGAGAAAAGTTTTTTTTCCTATAATTTGAGAGAGTTCCATTTTAAAAATACTGCATGCGGGATACAAAAATATTTTTTTGTAAATCAAATACAAGTGAAAGTTTCCCCAAAAGCAGCAGGCTTACTATATAATACATTTGGCTTCAGGGGGAAACGTTATTTTAGAATTAAGTCAATACTAAGATTTAGAAGATTAAAGTAAAATGTTGAATATCATGAATGGGGGAACAAAGAGCATACAGCAAAATGCATAGTAAAAATAAAACATGGTCAACGCTAATCCAAGTAACTTGGAAATAAAAAAAACTGAATTCGAAGGAAAAAATGTGAAGTTCTTTTTATGTGTGAATTGTGAGGAATGCGACACTGATGATAATGATGATGTTGATGATGAAAAATTGACAGAAATTGTATTCCCATGTAAAAATATTTCATTTATATAGAAAGAGTACAATAATATGAAAATGTTATCATGTAACATCTATTCAAAACCACGATTCTTCTTAGCTTTAAGCTAGTTTTGGATAACTATGAGAAAAACTTCTTTCTAAAAATAACATTTTTGAACTACCTCTTAAAAGGTTCTTTAATTATTCCAATAATTAGTTTATTATTATTTCACAGATTCAAATACATGCAGTGAAAAAAAGATAGATGTGTTTTTTTAAAAAATCTTATTTAATAAATATTTCAGAAATTAATTTGAAAATTATCTCTGAGCAATTTTAATTCACTTTTAAATAAACGTTTTTGATTTCTGACTTTATTTCACAACTATGAAATTAAAGAAGTTTAACTTTTACAATTTATGAAAGACTGGTACGGACCAGGAAAAATGCGTTTTAAAAAAATAGAATAGCAACAACAATCAACAGAATTTCTTTTTAGAAGTCATCGTATTTTAATTGACCAACTCTTGCAGTAAATTCCTTCATACAAAATATTTTGTCTACTAAACGCAGAAATCAAAAACAAAACGAATCGAAACCATTGAAAGAAGAAATATTCAAAATCACAAATCTTTCGAATTCTCTCGGAATCTTCAAGGATTAATTAATTATGAGTGCAACATAACAAAACATGTGTTATCTCCAGAAAACATGTGTATCAAGCTTGTGAACAAGTCCTCTCCGATCGAGCGGGTGCCCATCGCACCTTCCATTTAGCGGTCCGACAAAAGCGCTCACTGGACAGTGACCCACTTTCTTAATTAAGGTAGCGGTCATTGCATCATAAACATGTCCAGATTAATTTCCAAAACCTGTGAAAATAATAATTATTTTATATGGAAGTCTTTATCTTAATTATCTATTATATAAGGGTTAATAAATGGACTGATGCGTGATGTAGGGACTAAGTAAGGAATGGTAATGTCTTTTGTGGCAAATACTGTTGTACTTTCAAGGGATACGGTCGGACTGCAACAATGAGGTAAGATGTTAAGAAAATTTTTTTTGCTTAGTAATAATTTGATAATATATAACTTAAAGGAATATCAAAAATAAAAATAAAAATCCACTGTAAAGGAGGAAAAATCACACAGACCCCCAAAAACTTAATAAAACCATATGTACAAAAAGTTGAAATTTTTATGGATTAATTAAATTAATTAATTATAACAAACACCTGCAACGAAGAGCCTGGTAATCAAAGACGAAAATACTTCTTTGTATTAAGTGAAGTTTATTTTTGTGCATACCCTTTTCTGAATTCCATCAAAATGACAATGCCCTTTCGATGGAAAATAAAATGGACCAGAGAGCTAAAGATCTGTGAGTGCAAGTCAACTGTCGATCAATTGTCTAACTGCACTGACAAACACCTGGGGTTTAGAGTTTGAATATTTGTAAAAACTGACACTTCATTTGATCTATGACTTTCAATGAAAGTTTCATGGAAAATCAAAGGAGACCTTTTTATAAAAAGCAAGTGAAATATCTGCAATAGGCAGTTCCCAAACAATATAACATTTTGCACACTTGGATCTGCAGCTCTTTGGTCCAGAATAGCGACCAACAGTTTGTCAGAAGAGGAATTGCATGTTCTTCAGGAATATATTTGAACATGAATTTTAAATATAACATTCAATAAAATTGTGTTATTTAAGACCTAAAATTCCTCAAGCCTTTTTATAATGTTTTCATCTCTACTATTCTCCATCTTAGGATATTGATAATTCACGCATGCCTATTGGCCGCTATGTTCCTGACTTCCCTCGCTGATGATGACGATGATGATGCGGAATTCGAGCTCGTTACATCGGTAGAAAGTTTCGGCGAATATTATGATAAAGGTTTGAGTCCATTTATTTCTTATTCGTTATTTTAACCCCTTTATTTACATTTCAGTAATATTTCAGTAAGGTAAAGTCTATTTTTTTGGACAACTGTATTTTACTCGTTGTAAGAGATAAAGCAAACTTTTTTATATTCAGTCGGAAATGAAAACATTTAAAACATTTTGAAAAACATTTTAAAATTATTAATAAAATAGTATACACGAGACATTTTAATCTCCCTTCTTCAAATATGCCCAGAAATTTCAAAATGCAAACCAAAAATTGAAATAAACATTTTTAACAGGTAAAGCCTCATCTGGCCTGTGTAGCGGGCAGGGCCTGAAGGGCGGGTGGTCGTACTCCCATCTGCAGGGATCCTGTAACCAGTACCTCCACTGTGCTGAGGATAGAGCCTTCATCCAGACATGCGCGGCGGGCACGTTTTACGACGGAAAGGAATGTCGTCATGCCGACGAAGTCATGTGCCCTGCAGGTACTGTCTTACACGATGATCGAGTCCTTTGGTTTAATTGTGTAAAAGCGTAAATATTACGAATAATATTTTGATTAGCGAGAAGGATATAATAAAGTATCTGATATTTTTCAAATATTTACCAATATAACAAAAAATCATACTTAAGGTGAACTTTTAAGTCTTAATATTGCCTAATTTAGGATAATTCTCACTCATGAGATATGCATCATGCAACTTAAATCATTATGGATTGTAGAGCACGGCGAGTTAAGCGTAAATCTTTTTATCAAATGAAAAACCCATTTTTTGAAAAATAATGAAAAACTGATTTCAATCGCACTAAGCACTTTCGAGTTAAATGAAAAAAATATACATGTAATCAGCCTTGTTTTTAGGTTATGATCAATTCGTCTCTGTTCTAGATAACTTATTATTTTTAACAGATCCTTGTCTTCGGAAACCTCATGGATTTACGTATACAGACGGACAGAGTTGTTACGGATTTTACCAGTGTATCAAGGGAAAATCCCGATACCTTACTTGTAATGACGGTTTCTACTTCAATCCCTACAAACAGGGCTGTTTTCCAGACGCAACTTGTCACAAGAACAACCTCGTACACCGTGAGTATAATTAATTTTTTAAAAAGCTACAATAAGGGTTAATGAGTTAATCTGATAACATCATTTTCAACCAATGGCCAAACTTTTTTTCTTTAATAAGAACGGCATCGTGAATGTTTTATATGATGAATTGAAGAAAACAATACACACTCGTATAAGCATTTGAGAAACCGATAGAAGACTTGCATCCGTCTTGTCATACCTTGTAATACACAAAATACGTCTTATTAAATATTACAGCCTGTGCTTTCGGAACCACTTTGCCTTTTCCTGGCCGCCCTAATCTGTTCTACCTGTATAACGGACACAAGACCATGACCCCCATGAAGTGTCCCAGGGGGACGTGGTACCGGCCCGATATCTGTACGTGTGACTGGATCATCCCAGGAAAAGTGGAAAAAGCAGGTAAGAACACATTAAAACATAGGCCTACTTGAGGTATATAGAACAGAAAAGCTTTATTAATTGCCGAAATATCAACAAGATACCATGAACTCTATATCTAAAAATAAGACATGTAACCTAGGGCCTAATCACTTATTAGCGGTTTTTCGTAGTTAATGAGATTTATCAAATATAACATTTTGTAGGCTGCAAACCGATGTTCCATTTCAAATACAATGGAAACTTCCTGGAGCGATATAACCGTGTACAACAGATGCCCACTACCGGAGTTGTACTTTTCCGGAAGTCAGTGCTCTTTGATCATGGCGGCAAAATCCTCATCTGGGCGATGAACAACATGGACCTTGATGGAGATTTTTCGTTCTGTTTTGAGTTTATGGTTAAGTCTTTCGAAGGAGAAATCGCCCTTTTGTCAAATGACTTTGAGGATATTCATTTCACATACAAATTAACCTTTATTCCATCTTTGGGAGTAGTTAAAGCGTATTTCGTACTCAGAGACGGAAGTGTAGCAACGCTTGACGTTAATGGCGTGGTGAGTATTAGTCATATAATGCATTTTGATTTGTATTGTTGGCATGCTTTATAAATGAGTTGCGTCAAGCGAAAAGGGACCTTCGTGACAAAATTTTCGAAAATCGTTTTTTCACCGATTCTGAAAGAGCTAGTTTTTCTGAATATTTTGATACCAAATTTTTTATTGTATACCTTCTTAATTCTAATTAAAACTCAAAATGAAAGCAAAGCAATTTTAACAAGACAACGCTATAAAACGTTGAATAACGTCACATAACGTTATTGATATTTGGAACGTTATTGTTACGAAATATAACACTTTTGTATTAGTTATGAATTATTTTTTCTACATGTATTTAAGTTTTCAATGTCCCCCCCCCCCCGAAAAATAAATTAGCAGCTATATGATGGTATACATTGTAAAATAGCGATAAGGCTGTTGGGAAAAAACGACAATTTTTTCTACATGTATATGTTGGCCAAAATTGAAATAATGAAGTAAGTTGTACATTTTCAAAGAATATATTTAACGACAACATTTCATCTTTTTTCTACAACATGAATATAAGCATGCTTTAATCTCTGAAAAATTGGTATTTGAAAGGATCCTTCACAAGGGGACAGACCGCTGACCATATTTACAACACCAAACAAGTTCCTACTCTGAAGGTATCTCGCAAGGCATTCGTAACAACAAGGGTATTTTCCATGGGAGAAATAACTTATGTTCACAGAAATGACGGAGTATTTACGATTGCTTGCAAGGGACTAAAATGAAAAATTATGTTCATGTAGTAAAGTCGTAAGGATATTCCCGGAGAAAGTATTGTTTTTCCCTTTCGCCATAATCAGCAAACTTACCTCCACAAAAACAAACCCTTACCCAGAACCTAAATGTACTTATGAATTAACTACATGGGGAAACGGGGTGGGGGTGGGGGTGGGGGAGGCCTTCAAAAATCAAAAATGAGCCCGGCACGTTGTACTTGCCATGGAACAACGACACGCTACTTCGCTTGCAATTGTTTATATTTTGTTAAAGATAAATATCGTATGTTGTACAATTTTGTAAAGAGAAAATCTTATATTTTATTCTCATTTTAAAATTATTAAGGAATTGAATTTGTTCAGACAAAATTATACCGATAAAAACATCTAAGTTATGTAGATATCTAGGCTTGATGCAAAACAATTAGTTGGATCGACAACAATAAAAGTCAGACATTAAATTCTTACTTAAATCAGAGTATACAAAAATCGTTAATACATGTATATAATTAACACATGTATAATTAACCTTTTCTTCTGTTAACTACGTTGATTCATGCAATATTTTATTGAACATTCTAAAAGTACAATCTATAAATATTTGATACACAGTTACATACATGTACATGTACATGTAAATAATCAGTTTAATTCATATTCAGCTGTATCAAAGATAGAAAAAGGCAATATATGTGTAAATGGTGTAAGACGCATTGGTCTCATCCGCTGAAAATCCAAATCATATATTATACGTGTAAACGCTGCCATCGGAGGAAATTTCTTTATATTTATTCTCAACATTATTTTGTAACAGATAGATCATTATGCATTTGAACAATCGGCAGTCCTCAGCTGACTCCGCTTCACTCCATTCAAACAGGTGCGAGCCATCCGAGAAGCTCCGAGTGATATCAAAAAAAAAAAAAAGAAAAGAAAAGAAAAAAAAAAAAAATTATAGTCACAGATTAATGATGATTATAGGATATTATTTACAAAACTTAGTATTTTTTTTCAAACCAAACTTTTTATTCTTATAGTCAGGTTGTAACAGGATCAAACTTTCTCTCATACATAATTGAAAAAAATATATATACATAATGTATGTCTTTTTTAAAATCATATGCGGTAAACAGACACATAGAAAGAATCTTCATTTGTTATAAAAGTACGTTATTTTACATTCTGGGATTTAAAAAAGGAGTCATCAGACAATATTATTAAGAGATCACAACATGCACGAGCGTAAATATTCATTGATTTCACAATCGCAGTGTAAATTGAGATAGGTCTACGGCAACATCAACAAAGGGGTTGCACAACTTCTAAATATGAAATTCTTTTAATCTTCTGCAAATACATCTACAGTGTATGAGATAGAAAACGGAACTATTAATATACTGTTTGAAAAACAGAATAATTTACCAATACTTGACTGATGATGTGAATTTCAAGACAATTATTGATCTGGCACTTAATTCATTGATCACATATAGGAGCGATCTTTTAAGAGAAGGGGGGGGGGTGCATATGCCATTGTATTTTCAAAGTGTCTATGGTCAAAATAAAAAAGAAATTAATAGTAAATTAATACGTAAAAACGAAAACGAACAAGCAAAATCGAAACAACAAAAAAAAAAAATTAAATTGAAAAGAAAAAAATAAAGGAAATCAAGAGAGAGAATAACGAAGAAAAATCGGAATTAATCCTTGAAAAGATTCCCTTTCCGTAGTAATATAAAACGAACATAAGCACATCTAAAAAAAAAAAAGTGCGCGCACGCGAGGATGTGTGTGGGTGTGTGTGTGGGGAGGGAGGGGGGGGGGTAATCAAACCATTAAATTATATACTATTATGCTAGATTATAAGCTCAACTCAAAATGTCTGGAACTACTGTGTTTACCTTAAATAAAACTACTAAACTTCAAATCAGAAAATAAAACTAATGTACTTTAGTCTGATTTTAAATCATCGCTCTTAATTTTCGACTTGAAGTTAACAACATCAGCTTAACCCAAAGTTACCGTGTTTAGTTTTAATTTATTTCAATAAATTTAGGCAATAAATACAAGACCTTAAATTAGTTTTGAAAATGACCACTGTTGATTATCTTCACATTTTATTACGCCAGTTTTCAAACCTCAGTGTACGTTGCGCCAAAGGTGATGGTGTTGATGAGGAGATACAGAAGTCCGTATGGTTTTCGCCGCTTCATCCTTTATGTCATTGCTACAGTTTTCTAGCAGTGCATTCATGTTTTTCCTACTTTATGTATTGACAAAATGCTATTGAACTATGCTAGTATCAGTAACTTGATTCGATTACTTAATCTCTGATAACAAACTTTGGACATTGAGTCGCCAATTCTCGGGCCTTTCTGACTAACGGAGAAACAACCTGGAATATGTAATATGTAACCCCCACCCCCACACCAAAAAAAAAATGAAATAAATGCAGGAGTCTACTTATCTGTACATAGAGTCTGGAGCTCAGCCGAAAAGGTCAAAGCCGCGAAATCTTGTCTTCAGAGATAACTGAGGTAAACACGTACATGGATTTGTTCATTAACATTATATTTCACTTCTCATGAATAAGGCTATTCATGAACAGTCAAAAATTAATTTAGTTTATACACTATTTTGGAAAAAATTACCAGTAAATCTATAAATTGACGACATTCTACAATATTTTTTTCGGACAGTTATAGGCGTGTCTTTTTTTTAACATTAGTATTACGCAAATAAATGTTTGTTTTGCTTTACCGTATGATTTTTTTTAAAACGCACCGGCGCGACGTCACGTCTTTGAAGCGCTATTGTGACGTAATTACGTTTATGTCACGAAGGTCCCTTTTCGCTTGACGCAACTCAAATGTAACTTTAAGCTTTTTTCATGCAAACCGAATTTAAATAAATGCATTACAACTTTCTTTCTAAGGATCCCATGCAGCCTCATTTTGTGAGGGTCGCTAAATCAGACGACAGGCTAAACATGAGAATTGACAACTCTTCACCAGCTCTTGTTCATTTACGTAAGTGATCACTGAGTTTGAAATATAAAACGAAAAGTTCTTTTTTTTTTAGCATTTCTTTAAGTGATTTTAACCAACATCTGTTTTATTTACAACACTGCTGTCATTTCAGACACTGGTATAGCGACTGGAAAGAGTCCTATGGTGATTGGTGCTGCTAAAGGCTGCTCCAACTTCGTGGGATATTTTGATGAGGTATAGATTTACTGATAAAAATGTTCTAATCATTACAACCTCTCATTGTTCATTAGAATGATATATAGTAAATAGAATTATTCTTTGGGTAGGCATTGCTTTTCACCAAAATAATTTTTGTCTTGAATACAAAGAAACGTAAAATAATCATCCATTATGTTGTACAAAGGCACCAACATTCTCCATTTTTTTTTTTTTTGTAGCTGAAATTCTTTCGTTGTAATCCTACAAACTTTTTCGGTGACTACGAAGAAGAATACAACCATGATCATGATGATGATGACGATGACCATGACGATTTTGATGATGACAGATAAAAATGTCGGCAAAAAGTCGCGAAGCACCAAGGCATATCACGTTTGCCATTATTGTCTTTTTTGGTCGCAGCAAGACCAGTTGTTGGAACCAGTGCAGCGGAGAGAGCAGAAACCAAAGACACAAATCGATTGATTGGACATTGTAGATATCACACACATGCTTATTGTATTTGTTTACTTCTGAATATTTGTATATTCAAACGTTTGGCAGAATGGTTGCAAGTAGAAAACTGTGCATTTATGTCTTGAATGAAGTCAATGTACGTTTCTATGAACAGGATTACTTAGCATGACGAAATATAACTATATTTTACACATAGCTAGAACTAGAGATATGTAGATTTTAAAAGATAACTACAATGTACATCAAAATATTTTTTTTAAATTTTGTTGATAGGGGAGTATGCATAAACATACAATTTTATTTTATTTATTCATTTATTTAATTTACGAGGACAGTGTTGTCTCCAGTGTGTATAGAATAATTTATTTTGCACTTGTTGAATATCCTTTCTATTTTTGAACACAAAGAATTAGTAAATCAAAAATTCAATCTAGTTTGTTTTATTTTCATCTTGTTTAACCTTGATTAAAAGTTGTTCGTTGTTTATCATTGTCGTCAACACGTTTCACATTTTGGTCCCCAATTTTTTCCGCTTTGGTACAGCTGTTATTATTCTTTAAAGCAAAAATAAATTTGAAGTAAAATAAGTAAACTTTGTTCTTTTAGAATTAAAAAAGCATTTTGTGAATTCTGTAATGAAATATATGGAGATTACGAACAGTATTCAAACTCAAATGTTCATAAAACAATACAAAATAGAAGAAGAGCAAACAAGGACCTCCAAAACAATAGAGGTGGGGTTAGGTGCCATGGAGGAGTTAGCATCCCCTGCCGACCAGTTACACCCGCCGTGTGCTCCTTGTCAATATCGGAAAATGATGGAAAATCAGCCGTGAATTCAGTGAAAAAATGGATGAACACAATTAGTATGAAAAAAAGTCAGTAAGTATTTGACTCAATGATAAATTGTGTTTCCTGACAAGGTCATTGTATCCACCATAGAACTTACGAAATGATGACTTTAAACGGGACTGCTGATATTCTTGTCAATGATTTGCCTCGTTTTAGAAATTGTACATACCTGGAGCATGCTCTGTCGTATCGAATCAACTGAGATATATGAACTCCATATGTTGTTGATGAAGGTATATTGTTGCATAAATAAGGGAATTTGACGATTGAAAAGTTAAAGTCATCACGTTTATCATAGAGCTTGGTTGTTAGATTACCATTAATGTCTTTTTCGAGTAGGATGTGGATATAACGAACAGTATTCAATATCAAAGTCCATAAAACAATACAAAATAGGAGCAGAGCAAACACGGACTTCCGAAACATCAGAGGTGGGATCAGGTGCCATGAGGAAGGAGCATCCCCTGCTGACCGGTCACACCCGCCGTCTGCTCCTTATCACAATCGGGAAATAACGGAAAAAATCAGTCGTAAATTCAGTGTATAAATAATGGACTAACAATTAGTATGGAAAACGTCAGTCAGCATTTGACTCGAGTAAAACGTACATATATGAAACAGATATGTCAGACTGTGGTAACTTTTAGCTCAAGCTCACCAGGATATAACATATCAACATAAGAATGGAAATGACCATTGTTAATTGCCAATACGTCGTCAGTATATCTAAATGTCGAGTTGAAGGCCACAGCAAGTGTTTTCTTCTTTTCACGTATTAGAATGTGGACAAATTCTGCTTCATATGAATACAAAAATAGGTTTGCTAATAACGGGGCGCAATTGGTACCCATGGGAATTCAAGTAAATTGTTGGAAAACCTGGCCTGGGGGCCATCAAACTTAGACGAGCTCACTTTTGATCTCAATCTCACTTTTACCAAAGTAATATATGGTGGAAAAGTGAGACTGATATCAAAAGTGAGCTCGTCTGAGTTTTATGGCCCCCAGACCTGGTCTCTTAAAACATATAGAAATTGTCAATCCGCAACTCAAGCGTCTTTTTAATCTCAACGTCAGAGTACTTGTGCGTACAATCAGAATGTTTTTAACAAAATAATTTTACAAATGACCAATGACAAGGTAAGTAAATTCCTTAAGTTTCATTTTTATTTAAAATGCAGCTCTCAATGATATCAAAAAGCCTTGATTTTAATTTATCGTAGAATGGTTGTGTATGAAGTTTAAAAATCGTAAACTATTGGATTTGCTACAATCTTGTAATTTTAAATTGTCCAAAAATTCCTTGGGATTTTTAAGCATCCACATCTGATTTACATCACTTCTCGAATATTTGTTGCACAGTGCTCTTGAAGTTTCTCCTTCACTACTGTCAATATCTTAGTGAGGAGTAAAGAAAGAGGCTTGGTTGAACATTTACTGGAACCCGATTAGTATTTTTGTAAGGATTCTTATGAAGTTTCGGAATCCAATTTGTACATGGTAGTTCAAAATCATTTTAGTTCTTTGGGATACTAAAAATATTCAAAACTGAAATTTTGAAGAATTTACTCCTTAGAAAGGGAACTTTGAGTATGAGTTGGATTACCACTTGTAGAATTAAATATTAGTTCTTCTAAAATTCAATTTATGTAATGAGCCTTACGAAAAAAGACGTTGTTACCTGCTTTGTCAGCAGGGACCAGTACCTACTGATCATGTATCTACACTTTGAGTATCTGTACTTCTTTTTTCACTTCTGAATTATTGAACACAGAAGGATAGGTTTTTTCATATTGCCCCTTAATCTTTTAATACGCGATTATATCATGGATCTGATAAATATAACCTAAAACTGGATCGGATTTGACTAAATATTTAGATTTATTGATACTGACTACGCAATGAATACTTCTTCAATTCGTAGAAGGGGTGTGTCTGGTCAACAGGAGATGCTTACTCATTCTATGTACCAGGAATCCACTACATTAAATTTCTTCATAACAGCATCCAAACCCGCACGTCATGAAGAGTAAAGGAGTTTTTGGGATAAACAGAAAGTGACTTTTTTTCACACTAACAATATTCGACAGATCTTTCGGCTTTTGACTTGTCTCATTTTCCAAACTTGAAAAAAACCCTTTCAGAACGAAGAAACGAGTCCAGAAAATCATAAGATCTGCCATTTTCCAGTATAGTAAGAGTCATACTCAAAAATGAGATCTAAAAACAATCCGAAGTTGGATAAAAAATTTTATCGACATGGGTTTTAATTGAAAGAGAGTATTAAGTTAAATTATTAAGATTAAATCATTGAAAAGCGTCTTTTGCTTCTTTCTGAGCACCGAGGACATTATTTATTGAACAGCCCTCGTACAAAACGTACGTGAAGAGGATATATAACACAGACCCAGATAATTGGTTTAAATGCCTAGGAGGAGAAAATATGACCTAATCGTTATATTTCTTAACAGGGTCTTTGAAAATACAAAATAATTTAAGAAACGCTGGATTGAACGAGGTTTCCTGTAACATCAATTTATTTGTCAGTAGACTACTCCGGTTTAAAATTTGATCGTGCTCAACGAATGCTCTTGAGCATCGACGAAACATTTGCAGATGAGAGCAGAGTATAAGAAAAGTTGACCCAATAAAAAATTCACACAACTTGTTCAGAAAAAAATAATTTTCTAAGAAGAAAATTAAAACGTCCTTTTCAAAAATAATCCTGGACTACACTTACCATTAATAAGTATTCTTAGATCAAGTGTGTTTTAGAGAATTTATCTTAATTTTTAAACTCTAACGAATAAAACTTTGCATTGATTTCTTTTCTCGTTTTCAGTCATATTTTGTGATGAATACATCTCTATAAATTTGTAACGAATTATATAATTAAGTATATTCCTTAGAAAATTTTACTATTTGACAAACATTACGCCAAATTTCCAAGTGTCTTCTATTTCGTTAGGACAGTCGTTTAAATAAAGATGATTGGGCAACTAAAAATATTAAACTACACAATTTTTCAATTCACCGATTTCTAACATGATAATCATAAACGGGAAAGTGAAGAACCTTTTAAAAAAGTATATATATGTATTCATTACACCTGTTTTTCCATATCTGATAATACCTGATCTAATAAAAAAAAAAATCAATAACCTTTACACGAAAAGTATCGTGTATGACAGAGGACAGAGGGCATGCAACATCGCAATTAAGAAAGGATCACATTTACAATAAATAGCGAGTATGTCTCTGAAATTCATCCGAAACCCTTGTTTCTTTTCAAAAATGCATTTTTCTTTCATCTGTTTACAGATATCAGTCTTTGTTTTGCTGACAGACGCCAAATCTCTGAAGTCAAAACTATGGGATCTACATGTTAAGTTTCAAAACTCATCCAAGGCCATAGGTTCGAAACTGACGGTAAGGTTTAATTAGTATAACCTATTATTAAAATACCACATTATCTATTTATGAAATAATTAATTGATTAATTTATTTTTTCATTTGTATATACTCACATTAAAAGGAAACACAATTTGAGACAGTCACAAAGATCAAAACTGTTTGCAAACATCAGGATGTTCGACGTCAACAAAAGATTCTAAAGTTACCAATGGTAAAGGGACTTTCAAAATATAAATAATAACAATTTTGGTAAATTGTTGAATCTAAAAGCACTACAAGGAATGGGATAATAATATGTTAATATACAAGCCAGACAGTCTAAAAATATATCAAAAGATAGGTGTGATACGTTCATGTAAGCATGATTCATATGATTCATGAAAAATTTATATATTTTAATTCAGCCAATTAACAACAAAATTTTTCAGGGGGTATTAAGAAGTGTCCTAAAGGCTGGAAAAGGTTAGACAGTAAATTTACAAACTTCTGTCTAAAAAAGCTTCATGGTCTGCATCAAAGGTAAATATAAAACTAACTAATAATACAACTAATACTAGTAATAAATTTGAAAAATACACAAAAGTGTATTCTCTCTCTTGTGTGTGTGTGGGTTTTTTTTTTTTTTTTTTTTTTTTTTGTGGACATCAACATACTTTTGCTTTTGCAAATTATCCTTACTTTTAAACCTATTTGAATAAGCTTAGGTTTTAAATCTTTCTCTCTAAAAAACTTACATTTTAAAAATTGAGGCAAGCAATAAACAAGTAGCTTTTAAAACATACCAAAAAAAAGTCTAATGTAAAATTTACATTAAAATTTCCTCGGCAAGAACATGCCTAAGACAGACTTGAGGAGAAGAACGACTTAATGACAATTCTTAAGCTAAATACTTATTGCTTCCTGTGTAGTATTGTTTTCTTGAATATTTTAAACTTTAGTTATTGCGATTTACTCTTGTAATTTGAAATCCTTTTTGTCTTGATTAACTTTCAACATGCGTAACTCCTGCAGCGGTACAGACTGCGTAACTCTAAAATTGTTTCAAAATTTCTGATTTATTTTTTCCTTTCCAGAGTTCATGTC